CATGAAAATGATACACCTGATAACGTAGATAATGTCGAACGCTATCGACATGGTCGCACTTACGCGGTTCTAATCGAGGAAGAATTGTAAGGCTATGTTCAATTCAATGACAATAAGCTTATTCATTTCAATAGCATCCGCCATAAAAAATTCCAAGTTTATAAGTTTATCCTGGTCTGAGCTTGAAACGTTTTATATTTACGTAATTCGGTTATGAACTATTTTGATGCTATTTGTTGGACACTTTATTCTAACATTAAATGTGGTACTTTTTATGAGTTGGTATTTGAGTTTTATGCCACATTTACATTCCTGTCGAACCATGTTGCTAGTGTCGATTCTCTCGCTGTTATTTCATTCTGTTTGTTAGGACATCACTTTCGAATATTTGTGTCTGAATTTAATTATGCTATGGGATTCGTGATAAACGTCACGGATCCTAGTTATTTCTTTGGAGGACTATGCCACAACCAGCACCGGAAGAGGCAGTCTGATGTGCACACTCAAGTTCACAGAGTGCATGGTCCACTTAATTCCATCGAGACCAATCTCGCCGAGATCCTCTCCTACCTTCGCCTGGGATCATCTCAACGCGGCTGTAGCCATCATTAGAACGGAGAGTATTTCTATCACCTCTCTTGTGCTTTTATTTACTTTTTTTGGACAAAATGACTTAAGTGATGGGGTAAAATTACATCAAATTTTTGCCTTGCTTATTCGATTGATTGAAATTAAGTTTTTTTATATTGATGTGTTGAGATTTCTTGTTGCCTATCTGATATTTCTCTTTGTTCTCTAATTTCCTTGAGAATTGTGACCTTGTATTGTTTGGAATTTAGGAGCATTATAGTAATTGTTACGATTAATTGATTTTCTATAAAAATTTACTTGACTTTCCATACATTTGTTAATTAAATTGAAGCTTGATTTAGTACACATATAACCTTTCATGTGAGTTTTGAGCCAATTGAGCATATGATTTTCTTCTTGCTCTTTGTTTCATGGAGTGTGTCGAACAAGTTCTTAGAATTCTAGAACTTACAACATAATACTTTTTGAGGCTATATGCTTGAATATGATGCTTTAGTATGATAGGGACACTTAGGATTTAACCACTTTCTTTCCCAAAATAAATTATCTACCCTTTATTTTCCCTCAGTAAACCAATTTTGAGCCTTATATCCTTTTTTTTATTACCACATTATTAACCCGAGCTGATTTATTTTTATCCCCTTTTGTCACCCTTTTCAGGACAGAGTAAGATTGTTTCAAAAATATATATACAAAAGAATAAATAAAAGAATTTCAAAAAAAGGAAGAGAAAGATTCAAAATTGTTATAACAAAAAAAGGAGTACAATTTGGTTCGAACAGTGAAAGATATATTCGAAAAAAGAAAAAATCGGGAAATAAAGTGTTGATTTCTTATGCTTCCTTTGAATAAATTTATGGAATGATGACTTTTGCATTATGTTCATATTTACTAGTGGAGATTAGATTTGTTTATAATCCTATGGTAATGCTTTGATTAGTTTCGACTTGAGCGATTCTTTTACCTTAAACATTGAGCGGCATGAGTGAACCATGGGGAGGCAGTAAATTTTGTTCCATTGATATTAACGGATTATTGGAATGCCATGCTTTGCTTAAACTTGCTTTTAGTTCCATTGATATTAACGGATTATTGGAATGTCATGCTTTGCTTAAACTTGCTTTTAGTTATTCCTTTTGCTTATTGTTCTTTGATTTTTGATATTTGCTATGGTCTTGATTCGATTGGATTTCTTTGAATTATTGTGTAATAGAGGATGACAACTTGTGATTTTGATGTATTGATTGATAGAAGATCCAATAGGCGTCTTCCAGAAGGTCCAATCAGCCTTCCTGAAAAACGGACAATTAACTTCAAATTCAAATTATAATTATTTTTTTAGGAATTACCATTTAGAACTATCTCTTTTCTTTTAAGAATTATTATTAGGAATCATTTCCTATTTATTAGGAGTTATTTTTTAGGAGTTATTTTTCTTGTATAATTCAAGAGTTATATCTTGATATTTCTATATTTTTAGGAGAATATAAATACCCCATTGGGGTAAGCCATAAGACATCTCTCATATCTCGAACTACTTTGTTCTTTGTTTTCTTTAGTTGAATAAAGCTTTCTTTTCTTTTCTTTCTTTTCTTTTTAATTTCTTTATTTTTCTTTTAATGCCAAGCATGATTTCTATCATGCTTCGCTAATTTTTTCAATAAGCCAAAGGCTAAAGGTACGACTTAATCCTCTTGTGAGAATCGAAAAAAGTACGTAATTTCCTTAGATTATTTTCTTGAATTTTCGGCAAACAAAGGAAAGCAATCGGCCTTTCTTCAACATCTTGACATCTTCAATCCAAGGAGTGCACATTGGCTTGATTGACGTTACGATCTACAGTTGAGGAGGAAAATCGACTTGTAGCAAGTTCAATTCCCTAGGAACAAACTTAGTAGCGGTCCGTTAAGGGAAATCATGTTGGGTTCAATTGTCATTGAGACACCATAATCTGATCACGGACTCTTCCAATTTCTAAATCAGTACCGGCGTTAACAAGGGTTGCATTCCAAGGATTGACTTTGGAATATTAGTTCATCAAAGGGAAGAGTAAGCTACAAGGGAACCTTTTAGACTGTAACTAGGGATGGGCATGGGACTCGGGTCGGGTCGGAACGAGATTTTTTCAAAAAAATTCGAGTTCAGGTCGGGTTTTTTAAAGGTGATGTTTGGGTCGGGTCAGATTCGAATTTAGGGTAAAAATACCCGACCCGAAAAAATATAATTTTACCTTATATATTTAACAATAATTACAATAATACCCCTTTATATATTATTTTTTTCATTTAAATCACCGTTTTATTCAATAAAATAATATTTTTATTATTTCGGGTTGGGTCGGGTTCGGATTTTATCTCAAAAAGTCGGGTTCGGGTCGGGTGTAGGGTATATATTTTTCGAGTCGGGTCGGGTGAAGGATATAAAATTTTTGGGTCGGCTCAGGTTTCGGCCAAAACCCGACCCATGCCCATCCCTAAATGTAACCTGTAACCAGAAAGTATTTAAGGTAAAATATATTTCAGTGATCGAGACATGATTGAGGCAAAGCAAAGCTGGAGGTCATCTTTCATTGATTATCTTTTCTACAATTTACTTTTATCGCTTTAGTTTTTTAATTTTAGTTTAATTGATTATTCCAAAACTCCTTTTTATCATTTGTTTTTATAAGTTTCTTGGTTAGAATCAAATCAAATTAGAAACAGATATTTTCAGAGTACTTGTGGATCGACCATTCTTCTTACTATTCTACCTATATTATTTCTTGAAATTAAAGATAATTTATTTGACAGAAAAATGACGCTGGTCACTGTTATTGATGGATTAATTTCCATCAATACATTAGATCGAAGCTTTTACCTTTTTCTAAAGGACCTAAACCCTTTTAGTGATGATGCTGATAGATTGCTAAAATGGAGATATTATTGCAGTCATGGCCCTAATATATCCCCATCAGTCAATGTTAATTACTGGCCTAATCAATAGTATATCAGCGCCGGTGAATAATGATGGGCACATCAACAACAATTAAGTTGTTCCATTGCTCTTTTTTTCGTTCACATTTCTGTTGTGATGTGCGCATCCTTCAACTCGAATTAAGTCGTTTCATTGGCTTTTTCTTCATTCACGTTTCTTTTACACGTTCGATCATTCAAGTAAGAGGGAAAGATTCTGGTGATTGAATCCAAATTCTCTTTCAGCCAAATTTTTATAGACGCTGTTTGTCAATAGAATTTGGATAAAATTAATGATATTGATATCTAAGATCAGTTCAAATCTGTATATTTTGATGTATGGTTTGGAAGACAATTTCCAAAAATCTCAACGTCTCATCATCAAGTTGGTTCACTGAAGAAAAACGGAAACCTAAGCACATGCCAATTACACTAACTCCATGGACTTGGTTGTGGTCCGGTTCGTATAAATATGTCTAAGTACATTTCGGCTTCCCTATTTAATTTTGGGTTTACTTTTGATCGTCTTCAATTTTCAACAAAATTCATTAAATGCAGTACCTGAGTCACAGGAAAACAAGTCATGAATGTTGAGTGGGTACTAGAGACCAAGTCAAGTCGAGTAACACAAGTCTTTCAGGCAATGCACTGGTGCTTACTCATCAGTATTGTTCTAGCTGGCTCGATGTTGACCTTCGCCCTCGGTTTTACAGAGTTTTTCTAAATGCTCTCATCGTTGATCAATCGAGGATAGGAATATGAATGGGTAGCCTTTAATAATTGGAAGAGAAGAAAAACTGAGTACAATGTTGAAATCCAATTTGAATTAAGTTGATATGAAATAATCCAAATTCTAAATAAGTTGGATATAAATTTGAAAGAAAAGAAAGGGGTCTGTCTTCTGAACAACTCAATTAAGCCAAATGTTTAGCATATAATAATCACATGAATTTAAGCTAAATGTTGTTTTCTTGCGTTTATTGATCTGTCTTCTGAACAACTTAATTAAAACTCTGGATGTCGAGTTGGGAAGACTTCAAGCAAGGGATCGGTTGCAGCATCTTTGGACAGTTCGAATCTCTAATGCATTTCTAATTCTAAATAAGTACTAGTATTTTTCTTGTTATGGTATTCATTCATCCAGATGCAGCAGTGAAGTATATATTTCAGGTCGAACCGCCACCAGGAGTCCCTGACCATAATGGCTTACCTTTGACACCATCGTCGACCATTTGCACACTGACATTGCAGGCGGCTATAGCAGTTATATGTTCATTGTATATCATTCTTGGAACATGGAGATGAAGCCATTCAAAGAGTATCTAATTGCTCCAGAAATCAAAATAGTGGAGAAACCCATTCTAATACTATATATTTCAAATGAATCATTGATGATATTAAGACATAACATTCTTACGAGGAAAAAGATCTCAAAAGAAGGAACAATGTCCTAGAATAACAGCTAAAACACTTTTTGGCTCTCCATCTGTATATATCCCCAGATAATTTTAAGAGGATTTAACATACAAGCAAGGTTATATACAGGGAACAACCCACCAGAAATGAACCATTCAAATAATATTAAACTTGGCACTTCTATCTGAGGGAAGCGAATAAGGTGCCTTGTTGCTGCAACCATAGTTCCACATTCCTGATTGGCAAGGTCCAACAGAGTAGACACAAGCTTGAATTATGTCATTGATGCCAAGAGAATGGCATTCACTCACTTGAACGTCAATCTTCATCTGATGTATATCTTTTGACTCTAACCCGTTCACCATTAAAGTGGATGAACTTCCATTTACTCACGTATCGTCTAAGAACCAACTTCTGCTTGTCTTCTTGGCCAAGTTTCTTAAAAGCACGGGCTACTTTCCTGATTGAGTTTTCATCTGGTCTGACACGTAATTCCTCCATGTCTGCAAATACCTTTGCAATGAACACTAATAACTTAGAACCAACATAGTTTTGATTTATTTGGTATGAATTCTCAAGAACAGTTAGCAGAACTGGTTTTGTATGGCATACCTCTATTATCTTATCATGCATGTCATGATGATCAAATAAAGAGATCATCCTAGAAAACAATTGCTTTGAGATAGAACGGGTGTGTGTATGCAAAATCATGTTCCACAATGATTCAGCCTCATCCACTCTGCTATCCATATCAAATGCAAGTAGAAGGGCATCATATGTTCCCATCGTAGCTCCTTGGCCTTTGCTCAACATCCACTTCGCCACCTGAGTATCAGTGAGTCCACTAGTGAACATAACCGAAGCAGCAATTACAATGTAAATAAAACAGCATCATGAACTAACAGGTTGATAAGTAGAAGCACACCAAATGATCATTCAGCATTAATGTGTACATGACCAAATATATAACAAAGGCTCCACATTTTTAGCTTTGAACCACCAAACAAACTAGAAGGTAATGGAAAATTACTGAACAAATAAAGCTTCACAAAGCAGTGATACCAACATACTTGAATAACACGCAGCCATTGGCTCCTCTTCCTCAAAATTCGTAAAGCCTTGGCAGCTGCAATCAATGGAAACTCGATCTCCCAAGCTACCCATTTGTCCAATGCTCCATAAACAATCTCCTTTTCATCGGGAAGTTGAGAAATCTGCTTATTTTACAAATACAATCAGTGCATAGCTCTATCTTGAGATTCTAGAATATATAGTAGAGCTAAAAAACAGAAGTCAAAGAAGAGAAAATTAAACTTACAATTCTAACAAGATTGAGTGCCTTTTGTCTAGAGCCAGCTGAATCTCTTTTCTTCCACAAGTGATGCTCGTTCTTCCCCACCTTCTTCACTGGTTTCCTGCATACTGAAAATTTTATAAGTTTGGGCTTCTAATTTAAATATTAATATTCAATATTTTGATATATTGATTTCAATTTTTTAAATAAAACCTACTTCTCGGCAGCTCTGGAAATGCTCAGTGATTGCTCAACCATCTTCTGGGAACATTTACCGCAGGGAATTCTGCAAATTGACAACCCAGGAACCAATGAAAAAGTCACTTCGTTTCTTTTAAACTGAAAAACAAAAATTTCAGCCTTTTTCAATAGAAATATTGGGTAAACTCAAGATGGCAGCCTGGAAAAAATGATAGCTTGGAATTTCAATTTATCAACCTTGATTTTGGGCAAATCGGATAACGGATAACTTCTTGAATGGATACAGCTAAAAGCCATTGATTTCATTCTTCTTTATTCAAAAGAACCCAATTCGAATTTTTTGGTCAGAGAAAAGGAGAAAACCATGTTTCATGCCAAGATGGAGGTAAAAAGATTGAAACGAGTATCACACATGAACTGTATTTTGAGAACTATTGGGCCTCAATGGAGTTGAAAAGTATGGGCTAAAGAAACACGGTTTTTTGGCCCATTAGACCAGAGAGAAATTAATTGGCTCAATATGCCACTTAAGAATTTATTTTGCGGCAATTGCTACAATGAAGGATAAACTCGTCTGAGTTTGCTCAAGAAATATTTTTTATTGTCCCAAGTCAGTGGTCCCACATGGGTCAATATTATATTATTTTTCATGAGACTCGTCACGTGACAAGTCTTACGGGTAGTAACTTTTTTAAAATTTAGTAAATAATTTGTAAAAAAATAAAAAAAAAACATTGGGAATCGTCACATCCAGATGATGAGTTACCTTAGAATTTAATCTAAAAAATGCATCGTTGGACAATGGGCACTTTTTGAATTTTAAAAAATTTAACCGTTGAAACTCGTCACTTCGACGTGATGAGTTTTGTCAAATTTAAATTAAAAGAATACTTTTAAAAATTGTTTAGTGCATATAAAATAAGTTTATTACAAAATAATAATAATAAAAGTTATTAAAAATTAAGACAATACATAATAATATTTATTTATATTTTCGTAATTCTTGACGATGCAGAAGGAGTGGTCGAATGATATTGGAGTTGGGTTTGTCGAATACTTCGTGTTCATCCACTTTGATTGTCTTCTTCTTCATTTTTTTTTCAACAGGAGGTGTACTAAACATCACTCCACTTTGAGATCCACCTTCGAAATACAATGATGGAGTACTTAAGGTATTTGATGCTGTCATTGTTGTTATTGACTTAACTTTGCAACCGAAATCAGTACCTTGTTAACCATATATAATATGATCCAATTCACCCTCACCCACATGTTCTGTTGAAGATGTTTGAGTGATTTGCATTGCATCCCATGAACTTCCAACCCAATTCAGTTGACTCTCCATTGAAGCGTGATATGGAGGATAAAACCAATAATTGGTATGAGATGCAAAATGCTCTACAGAAGACGAATATGTCGATTGTGACACTTTTTTGCCCTTTGCGAACTTGGCCTTCATTTCTTCCCTCTATTCCCTCTCTTCCGGTGTTGTTAAATATGATTTCTCATTTACTTCATAATTTCATAGGTACAGAGAAATGTCAAAATCAAAGTCAGTAGTTGTAATTTCGAAATGTATAGGGACAGATAAATATCACCCTCCGTTGTTGAATGTATACAACATGCTTCCTCGACTAATTCTCTTTATGCTTCCCACGCGTATCAATTCTATGGAGCGTGTCCATATCAAATATTTACGTAGGATTTGGTTGATGAGATTCAAGCTGTTAAAACACTCTATCTGCGGCGTTCATCTCAACAATTGCAAAGTGTAACAAAGACGAAATGGCACACCACAACTCCGGATCTCATCGTCACAATACAGAATCCAAGAAAACTATAAACATTAATTATAAAAGTTAGTATAAATAAAAAAATAAGTAATTACTAAAATAATATTTACCACATGTCAACCGTCGATATCGATCTTCATTCGTATATCATTTTTATTTGCACCCGACAACTTGGTCTCGATAATTTTATGTTTTCACCTAAATAATATAATAAAAAATTTAAAAAAGTTAAAAATAAATTTCAAAATTTACCAAAAAAATAAAACTAAAAAATTACCTTGTAGCCAAAGGAAACTCAACAGCGGATGATGTAATTAGTATAAAAAAAGGATTGGTTCAATGCCTAAGACTGTAGCAAGACTATACAACTGGAAACATCAACTTTTTGACCTCTTTCGACGATTGTAGCCTTGTAGAGTCCCAGTATAAAAATGCAAAAAATGGTCGAGCCCCAACTAGTATTGCGACATTAAGTAAAATTATTTAATATCGAAAGATACTGAATGTGCGCAAAATTACTGGATTTATCCGATAACGATATCCTGCAATCAATTAGAGAAGATACGTTTGGGATGAAAATATAACCTCTTTCTCGGTAGAGTCGTTAATCACATTAAATTCGAACTCTAACCAAGTTATTTGTATCTGGTACCCTTCTAAGATCTCTGGCGGTAAAATCTTTCCCAAAACTGTCTGAACAATAGCGAATCGGTTGAAATCATTGTGCCTCACTGATGTCACACCATTAACCGGAACATAATCGTCGCTTCACCACGCGAAAAATGGAAAGTATGTGTTTTAGAGCCCAAATCAATGTCAGGTTCACCTTAAAATTAGGTAGAAATGTGATTGGATACAGCCCAGATTGTTGTAAATATATAATAATCCGCTGATGCGAATCTCTAAGTGTCATTCCTCGTTATCGAATGTCTCGTTCTTCTTTCGGAGTGAGTTCGAGCGACGAGATATGATGTTGAAAACATTTTGATGTTTCGATATAACAAATTAAGTATAAATGAATTTTAAGATTTTACAATCTTTTTCAAAATATATTCGATGAAATTAATCGAATATATAAATATTACTCCACGTTTTTCTAAGGTCAATTTCAATCCTTACTAAAGTGTAAAATTGTGTTTAAAACTTAAAATATTTTGAAACAGTTTTTACAAAGTATTTCGAAACTTAATCGAGCCAAAAATCAATATTATGAAGGGATGTACCGATGCATTCCGTGATGTATTAATGCACTCTCTATTTCGAATGCATTTTGTGTACCGATGCACAGCCATGCATCGATGCAATCTTGAATTTAATGAAACATCGAATGCATTTTATGTACCGATGCACAAACCATGCATCGATGCACTCCTGGTTCTTTTGAAACATCGAATGTAATTAGTATACCAATGCACCCCTAGTGCACTGATGCACTAAGCCTTATAACAGTCGAAATATTTGAATTTTACACATAGTGTACCGATGCACCCTGATGGTGTACTGATGCACACACACTCCCAACTGTTTTATTTAATTATTTTCACACAATAACGGCTCTATTGACTTCATCAATGATCCCCAACATTCAAAAGTGATTCAAGGTGTATTTAAATAAACTTAGGAGCCACTGATCAACAACAATCAAGAAGAAAAGCTAGAGAATCAAATAGAAAGCATCAAACCTCAAGTTTGAGTACTTCAAGCCAAATTTTCATTCAATATTCATTTTGCTTTCAAGAACACTTATTGTGCTCAATTGTATTCATTTTTAGTGTTCTTTATTTGTTCTAGAATTGTGCAAACATCTTACTTTGTGAGATTTTTCTGTAAGTTTGCAAATTTGTGTATTTCTCTTTGGGAGAGAGTGTTCTCAAGAATTTGGGGTATAATTCTTGAGGGAGTTGTAAGGTTACTCTTTATCGTGAAAAGAAAGAACAAATTAGTGAATTTATTGGAAAATCCTTAGTGTAGATAGCTAAGGTAGTGGACGTAGACTTTGGTTGAGAAAGTCAAACCACTCTAAATCATTGTGCAATTATTTTCTATTTTCTGCAAAAGCTTCCACCAAAAAATTTTAATTGTCAATTCACTCCATCTTGGTTATTTCTTCGATCGATTAACTCAACAATTGGTATCATAGCCTAACTCATTTGAAGGTTTAATCGCCTCTTGAGTCAATTCGGGAAGAGCTATATTGATATTCAAGTCATCAATGGCATCCACTTCAAACTTTGACCTTGGTCTTGATTCAATGTCTGTCAACAAACCTCATTTCTTCAATGGAGCTAATTATGCTTATTGGAAGAATATAATGAGATACTTCATTCAAGAAAATGATATGGGAGCATGGAATATCATAGAAGACAGATACTTCATTCCTTCCACTCATTCAAGATTGTGGAGTGAAGTAGAGACAAGAATGTTCCAGCTCAACTATAAGGCTATCCATATTATTTTTTGTGCTCTTGAACCAGTTGAATATGAAAGTGTTTCATATTGTACAACCACCAAGGAGATATAGGATAAAATATAAGTCACTCATGAAGGCACAGACGAGGTAAAAGAATCTAAAATTAGTCTTCTAACTCATAGCTATGAAAATTTCAGGATGAAATCGGATGAAGATATCAAAGCTATGACGGATAGATTTTCCACGATTGTTAATGGTCTCAAATCATATGGAGAGATCATTCCAAACGAGAAGCTTGTGATGAAGTTAGTTTACTCTCTTCCAAAAGCTTGGCAATCAAAGAAAACGACAATCATCCAGGCTAAAAACTTAAAGTCTTTAACTCTCAAAGAGTTAATTGGTTCTCTCCTCACTCATGAAATGATGCTTTAAGATAAGGTAGACTTCGAGAAGATTAACGATAAAAAGAAGGAGAATGAGAAAAAGAAGAGTGTGAGAGTTGCTCTCAAATCCACAAAAGATGAGAGTGATTCGAATAAAGATGACGATGACGAGGAAATAGAATTATTTGCCAAACGGTTCAGAAAATTAATGAAGCCCAACAGAAGGAAGAAAATTCAAATGAAATGAAGGCTTAAAAAATGAACCGAATGAGAAATACCCTATTATTTGCTACGAGTACAAAAAGTCAGGTCATGTCAAATACGATTGTACACAATTGAAGAATAAGGGTCAATCGAAGAAAAAACACAAGTTTCACGTGGCTACATGGAGCGATGATGAAGGTTCCATGAAGAGGAACAAGAAGTAGCAAACTTCTGCTTGATGGTCATCGGGGAAAGCTCTCAGGAAAAGGAGCATTGCTACAAGGCACGGGAAATAAATTCAAACTCGTGGTACCTTGATACTGGATGCTTAAGACACATGACCAGAGACAAGAGCCGGTTCATAGAGCTAAACGACAAAAATAGAGGAGATGTGACTTTTTGGTGATAATTCAAAAGGTCACATTCAAGGTATATGTACTATAGGTAATACATCTTCCATACAAATTAAAAATGTGTTATATGTGAATGGATTAAAGCATAATCTATTGAGTATTAGTCAATTATGCGATAAGGGATACAATGTAATGTTTGAAACTAATGGTTGTAAAGTCATTGACATTGCATCTAATCGGATTATGCTTGTTGGTCATAGAATAGGAAACATTTACATGGTGCATT